AATGGAAGCTAAACATACAAAGAATTATTATCATGAAACAACTATAACCATCACAATCATAAGATTACATAGAACAATTAACAACAAAGTACTTAAAGAATATTACCTGCTAACTAAAACCGGTTAAACACTTAATTTTACACTACTTTGTCACACTGCCCGCCGTTCGTCTTGCTACCTATCTGCACACTGTTCGCACTTCAACTGCCTATCTTCAACTATCTAGGCTTCCTTCCAGAATATCCTACCTAAGTGCCTGTTTTTTGTGCTTCCTTCTATCGACCGTTAATATTACTTTTTCATTGTTATACAACACCTATGTAACAGGTGACGTCGAAGTTGATAAGATAAGTACGGTTTTGCACAATATAATTTTTTCTTCTACATCATAAGTATTGAAACCGCAAAATTGTATCGTTTAATTTTGTCGGACAAGCAAAAAAAACCCGATAATTTTGTCGGACAGTTAAATTCTCAGATTAATATTGCATTTTTTTTAAATAATGACGCTTTTGTCCGACAGCTGGTTATCACCGACCATGTTGTTGTTAAGTCGACATCTTCGGGGCGTCGGACTGCAAAAACTTCTCAAGAATTTTGTCGGACAATAAGATACTTTCATTTCAAATCTTATTACCAAACCCTCCCAGAAAAATCAGCTTGCTGGTTGTCACCAACCATAATGTCATCAAATCGACATATTTGGGATGGGGGACAAACTCAAAATACCAACATTTTTGTCGGACGAATTTTTTGGGAGGTTTAAAAAAATATATCTTTCATTTAAACTTAAAAAAATGCTGGTCATAACATTCCATGTTTATGCCAGATTGACATGTTTTCCTGAAAATCACGGGAAAACTTACCAGTGTTGAATTTTCCTCGTAGTCAAATCTTGGGAGACTCGTCAAACTTAAGCTGCACGCAAAGTTACAGATTGCTGGTAATAATTTTTTTCTTTGTACGTGGGCCCGTGGACTATCATGCCTATTAGAGAAACCCTCTCAGAACTTTGCATGTCTTAGCACTACTGGCAAACAATTCTAATTGAGAGTAAATTTAGAGCGCAACAAGCAGCGGGCCGACCGGGGACATGCTCCGCGACCACCTGCGGGGCAGCTCCCCGCCCACCGCCGAAGTCTACCGGTTTGCCCCAGGTACGCCTCCAAGGCCTACCCAGACCTCCTTCTGGGCTCCCAGCTCCCGGCCAAAGGCCCGCTATACCGCAGCCAAGAGCAGGAGGATTGCCGCAGCCGCAAGCGTCGGGACTACAGAGGCCCGCATCCGTGGGGTTACCGCGTCCTCAACAGGTGGCATTGCCGAGACCAGCGCAGCAACCGTCAGGGTTGCAGAGACCGACGCCGTCCGGTATGCAACCACCCAGACAGGCAGGTCCGACGCCGTCCGGTATGCAACCACCCAGACAGGCAGGTCTGCAAAGACCGACGCCGTCCGGTATGCAACCACCCAGACAGGCAGGTTTGCAAAAACCGACGCCGTCCGGTATGCAACCACCCAGACCGGCAGGGTTGCAAAGACCAACACCATCTGGTATGCAACCGCCGAGACCAACTGGTAAGTACGCTTTCTGCTTTTAAGTCGGGGTTTCTGCCACCTCAAGAAACTTGGCGCTAGTTGTACTCTAATTTGAATGAGTTTTGGAAAAAAAATAAATTTTGTATAGAAAAAGTCTGAAATAATACTTCTAGATACTTGTCTCCTAAGTTCATTCCCAAAATAAAAGAAACGTGACATAGATGCGTAACTTCATGGTGTGGCAATATTCCGTGAATATAGTTTCTTGAGATCAAAAGCAGATTTAATTACATTTACTTCTATTCTAAGTTGCTTCGTTTAGATGGTAGAGGGCATCGAAGTTGACCAAAAAAATAGTTTTTTTTTCAAATTAATGAAACGCCTTATAAAATTTTATTGAAATCTTATCACTAAGACTTCCATATAGGCGTTACTTTATGACATGAGAAATACCACTTCTCTTGAAGTAATCTGCTCAAAATTGTCACGCTATAGTTTCTATTAATTTTTACAAGCTTTTATTTGTAGTAACCTGATTCAAATATTTAAAAATCTCGCGCGATTCGAATAAGAAGAAGAAGAGGAGATCTGGAGGTCTTAGGCTTATGGTTAGTTAGGGAAAAGAGAGGTTATATATTATTATGTTATATGTAAAAAAAGCGTTGTTCAGATTTATGTCTTTATGCAACAAATAAAGTTTTAGATAAAAAATATAGTGTGCCTTCCTGAAATAGCCACCCATATAGAGCTCCCTACATATTTAATCTTCAAATCTTGCAAGCCAAATTTTAACCACCTGCTTTAAACTTACGACTTTGAAATTTTGCATGCCTCTTCAGTTCTGACATAGTCCAGTCATTGAAGCATTTTGGTTACCCATTTTTTCGGATGGAATGGATTGACGTGAAATTTGAACTGTAGCTAGGGAATAGCCCAGGAAACAAAAGTTATATAGTGCCGGTGTGTGCTTTTACCCTAGGGGTGGATGCCACCGCTTCTGGAGGGTGGGAATTCTTTTATTAAAAATAACCTCAGGATTCGATAGAGGGACGAATTCTAAACAAAAAATGTTCTATGAGAATTTTTTGTACAATCAATACTTTTTGAGTTATTTGCGCCTAAACATGTTCGTTTTTAGCCCAAAAAATGCATGTTTTTTAGCCATTTTTTGCGAATATCTCAAAAACTACAAGTTTTATAAAAAAATGATCATAAGCAAAAATTAAGGTAATTAAATAGCAAAGAGATTGCTTTTTTTAATTTTTGTAGGTGGCATAGAACCCGAGTTATGACTCCCAGAAGTTGAAGTCAATTTCGAAGATAGCTATAATCGAAAAAAATCGAGGACAACTTATATAATACCTATTAAAGTTCTTGAATATACCTTTAAATTGAGTGGTTAGCATGAAAACTAATGAAGTTACAATCAAAATAAAATGATTGTCTTCATTTTTGAGAAAAAAAAATCGGTATTAAAATTAACGACTTGACGGAAAAAACAAAATTAAACGTATTCCTTCTGCAATTTACTTTATTTATGTATTAACAGTAGATTCTGGGAATTTGAACTATTGTAGAAGCCTAAATTAAAAAAAAATGTCTTACTTTTGAACAAATTTTTTAATTTTTTTAAAAAATCGCCCTTTTTCAACAAAATATTTCAAAAACTAACAAAGTTATAAAAAAATGATAGAATAAGAAATTGTAGGTTTTTTCTCAGGGAACAATTTGGTTTTTTTTAATTTTTGTAGGACAAAATTATAAGTTATAATTTAGAGTTATAACCGTTAGAAGCTCAAAACTAAGCTCCAAGACTGCCTTTCCTGGGACCTTTTAGCTTACAAATCTAAAAAACGAAGGGTTCAAAAAAACTGCAAATCACAGAACTTAAAGTGCTTTAAATTCCTTACAAAACGGTTTTTTTGAGTAAATTTATAACTTTAAAATTATAAACGTTCATTTTTTCGGTAAAATTTTCGGAGCGGGTACATTTCCAATATCTTTGTGTATTTTGGAGCACTTGTGAACTGATTTGAGTAAGTCTTTTAATAATATACATATACACACGTATCCGAGTTCACATGTATATGTATTGTTAAAATAAATGTTAATTAATAAATCGATTATACACTTTTATTAACAAAAATTTATAGGAAGTGAACAGATTGTATGTGAACGCTTCAAACATTCATATCTGAATAATCCTATCTTATGCCTCTTCACCGGGTGTCGCCCGAACGCTTGATCTCCGTTTGTTTTGGTTATCCGGCGTTTGTTTACAAAACGCCGATATACAGAGTGCCTCGAGTTCGCCCTGTCTGGAGATGAATATTCCTTAACAGTATATTTTTTATTAATTTAATAAAACAATATTAAAAATAAATTCAATAAAATTAAAAATATATATTTATATCATCATACTCATATTATAATTTTTAGGAAATTTTTCTATAAGGGGTAGGGTTTTTTATGAGAGGTAGGTCTTCCATACGGGTTTTTTGGGTGGCTAAAAAGTTGCAATATATCATAGATCATTTGAAAACCAATAAAAAGTTTATAATTCAACATATGCATACTATTAAAACATCTCGAGCTTTCAATAATATTTTATTTTATTACTAGCTGACCCGGCAAACGTTGTGTTGCCATCTTGTGGAACTGTGGATGGAACAAAATAATATTAAAATCGCGTTTAAAAATCAGGGGTTGATCGTATAAGGGTGAAAATTTAGAACTGTATGTATTTTTCAATGCTGAATCATGAAAAAATAAAAACAGAAAATTTTGTCCAAAAAATAAAAAAAAAATTTTGGGGTGGACCACCCTTAACATTTAGGGGTATGAAAAATAGATGTTGGCCGATTCTCAGACCTACTCAATATGCTAACAAAATTTCATGAGAATCGGTCAAGCCGTTTCGGGGGAGTACGGGAACGAACATTGTGACACGAGAATTTTATATATAAGACTAGCTGACCCGGCAAACGTTGTTTTGTCATCTTGTGGAACTGTGGATGGAACAAAATAATATAAAAATCGCGATTAAAAATCAGGGGTTGATCGTATAAAGGTGAAAATTTAGAACTGTATGTATTTTTCAATGCTGAATCATGAAAAAATAAAAACAGAAAATTTTGTCCAAAAAATAAAAAAAAAAATTTTGGGGTGGACCACCCTTAACATTTAGGGGTATGAAAAATAGATGTTGGCCGATTCTCAGACCTGCTGGATATGCTCACAAAATTTCATGAGAATCGGTCCAGCCGTTTCGGAGGAGTACGGGAACGAACATTGTGACACGAGAATTTTATATATAATATAAGGGATGGTTTTTAAGGGTTGCAACTTTGCAATGAGTCGTAAGCTTTCTAATGAATAACAAAAGAAATGCAATACATTGTGAATACACCAAAAGGATATTTTAAACTATTAAAAACTTTTTTCTATTTTTTGTTCATTCAAGGGTAGTTTTTAAGGACTTTTAAAGGTTGAAAAGTAAATAAATTTCATAAATTATATTAAAAAACATGAAAAGAAGTTTATCCAACATATTTGAACATGAATTGAATCTTTAAAATACGTAAATCTGTGATTTTCGCATATTTTTCGTACAAGGGTAGTTTTCACCCCCAAATAGATAAAAGTACACATCTAGACAATATAACTTTTAAAGTGGGGGGGGGGGGTCAGATGAGCTTCTATGCAAATTTTCAGAAAAATCCATGCTATCCGAAAAAATTGGGAGCTTTTACCTTATTTTCACCTCCAATGACTGGACTAACAATACACTAAAATGATAAAAAATAACCAGGTGCTGCAACCAGGTATGTTGCCTCACGAGGACACTCCTCAAAGTTTCACAAGAGGGAACATTTTTTAACAAATCCTCCACCTTTAAGACAAAAAAATAGATTATATGACCCCCAACAAAATTATGAGCAGATTAGTTTGAGGGAGAGGGTACTTTTCACAGTTCTGTTAATCCAACTCCAATTCATTTACCGTTTCATAAAGTGATGTGACAAGTGACGAGTAAATCAGTACTTTTTGTCAACTTTGATGCCCTCTTATTGAGACTTAAGACAGAGGTAAGTTTAGTTAAATCTGCTTATTTCAATCGCAGGAAATACGTACTCTTTGTATACATTTCTGTTTCCTCTTTGTAGGAGTGTCGCGAATGGTAACCCCACAGAACCTACCTAGACCCACTGGACTGCGCGCCCCTGGTACAACAGGCAGACAGATGAAACCCGCTCTGGAGGCACCCACATCCCCAGTTAGGGAGCCTTCGCCGCGGGAGCCCCAAATTCCGCCACAAAGTAAGTAACACTCGATATCAAATATTAGGGAGGGGGAAAGGTAAATAGCGCGTGTAAAGGGTCACCAAGGAAATAACGCTACAAAAGTAGTAAAACAGAGAGTAAAAGTATATTATTTTATTGGACGAAACATTGCTCAAAATTATTAATTAATTAATTAATTAAAATTATCAATTAATTAGTGTAATTAATGGATGACGCAGTAACGTAATGTAAAGAAAGTAATGCCAACGCCCGATTCCGGGATAATTCCGGATTCACGCGACAGTTTTTTTGCCGAGGCACATGTTCCTGGACAATACTGGCAAAACAGGGACGGGTGACATGGCATCTCTAGTTATATCAATTTTATCAACATGTTTTCGCAAAATAAAACCACCTTAATAGTCCAACCAAATTACAGTTGGAGACAAAAAAAATTGTTACCCTGACTTTTATAAGTAAAAATGGTAAAAGGGCTTATAATAAACCTAAAAAAAATAAATGCGTGAGCAGGGGCGGCGGAGGGTTGATTTGTGGGGTTGAAAAGTTATGAAAAATTGTTTAATTGGGATTTCTGGCGAAAGTTGACGTCAAACAAAAAAGTATCCAATACAAAAGTTGTAGATCATGCAAAAATCTACAACTTTTGTAGAGGTCACTTTTTAACATAACCTCAAAATTTCCGAGAAAAATGCGAAAAAC